GCTGGATGTGAGCACCAGTGACCCCCGCGACCCAAAAAGGAAGAAGCGGGTAAAAGAAGATGGATGGATGGATGGATGGATGGATGGATGGATGGATGGATGGATGGATGGCTGGATGAATGGATGGATGGCTGGATGGATGGATGGATGAGTGGATGGATGGATGGATGGATGGATGGATGGATGGATGGATGGATGGATGGATGGATGGATGGATGGATGGATGGATGGATGGATGGATGGATGGATGGATGGATGGATGGATGGATGGATGGATGGATGGATGGATGGATGAATGGATGGATGGACGGACAGACAGATGGATGAATGGACGGATGGATGAATGGATGGATGGAGTATACTGTTAATGGGAATCAGTTTGGTTTGGTGGCTTCTCGGACTGATGAAGTCCTTTGGATGAAGGAGAAAATGTCTCAGCAACAAAAGAAGCCGTCCAGATGACCTGACTGAACATTGTTGGATTTTCTACCTGGATTATTGAGCATGAACTTTGGTCTTAGCCGGAGCTTTGCTCCCAGAAACACTAACGTTTTTCTATACTTGAAGAATCATGACAAACCAACTTGTGTCTTTATAAACATGATGAAGTCTGATGGTTTGTGAAGGAAGGATGCAAAAGACCGAGAAGACACGAAGATGAAGCAAGCGTTCTTAGTTTGTTTCAAATTGGAAAAATGTGTGTTTCTTCACTTACAAGTGTTTTTTCTGTCACATGTCACACATTAATGCTCAGGTTTAAATCTCTTTTCCCGATGATGGCAGTTCATTAACACTATCCACTCTGCTGCCATTTGTCAGAGCCGTGGCAAGATTTTAATGCCATGTGCTGATCCTTAATAAGGTGGGGCGGTATGCAGTTGTTTAAGCCTAACAAGAATAAAAATATATATTTCAGGCATTTTAAACTGGGATTCTGTATAAAACAACTATGAACAGTTAATATCTTACCTGATCTAGATAGCTCTTTGAAAGACTTCAGCTTGGAGAAACAGATTTCAGTTCTCATTAAACTAATAAGCTAATATCCTGATGCATGCTCAATAATCCAGGTAGAAAAATCCAAAAAAGTTCAATCTGGTCCTCTGGACATTCAAAAAAAAAAAAAAAAGCAAAACAAAGCAAAAAAATATAGAAACGTTTCGTCTCTCATCTGAGAGACTTCCTCAGTCTGAGGAACTGTTTTCAGCTCAGTCTCTTAAATAGCACCTTCTCAGAGTGGATCAACCAGTTTTGCTGCTGACAACCAAAACCAGCTGATCACATGCTCAAGAAGGACCATCAGCCTAACAATGGATCATTAGCACACTGATGGCTGTTTACTACTCACAGAGGGCTGAGTGATACTAGCAATCACAGCATTGTAAGAGGGGGACAGTTGAACCCGGAGGCCTCCACCCCTGTTTAATGATGGACGATTTCTTTTCACAAAGATGGCCTCCTTTACTCCTCTCTCAAACCATCGTTCCTCTCTGTCCAGGATGTGAACATCTTCATCCCTGAAAGAGTGACCGCTGGCCTGGAGATGAGTGTAGACCGCAGAGTCCTGGCCTGATGATGTTGATCTTCTGTGCTGGGCCATCCTTTTGGCCAGTGGCTGTTTAGTTTCCCCGATGTAAGGCTGATCACCCTCCTGACACTGAACAGCATACACAATATTACTCTGTTTGTGCCGGGGGACTGGATCTTTGGGATGAACCAGTCTTTGCCGTAATGTATTTTGGGGTTTAAAAGCCACTGGGACGTTATGTTTAGAAAATAAACGTCTCAGTTTCTCTGATACTCCCTCAACATACGGAATACTAATAAGCTAATGGTTAAACAGAGCACTGCCAAGACTAAGGGGCAGCTGTGGCTGAGTGGTTAGAGCAGTCGTCCTCCAATGGAAGAGTTGGGGGTTTGATTCCACCAACAGTCACATGTTGAAGTGTCCCTGGGCAAGACACTGAACCCCTCATTGCCTCCAATGTGTGTCCCATTGGTGTATGAATGTGATAAAGCTCTGATTATTCTTTGTATAGATCTAATAAAGTGCTGTATGTAAATGAGGACACAGATTGTAAAGAGCTTTGAGTGTCTTGAAAAGATAGAAAGGAGCTATATAAGTGCAAAACAGCTGACATCTTAAATAAACTCTAAACTTAAATTTTTATGAATTTATGCACTTTAAAAAAAAAACTTTACACTGCTTCAGATGTTTACATTTATTCCATCAACAAAGACTAAATGCACAGATTAGCTGCTGCTGTTGCGTTTATTGATGACATATAACCATTTTTTTTTCTAAATACCAAGTAATGCAAAACAGATGCAACCTTTATGAGAGTTTCAAAGTTCATGCTCAATAATCCAGGTAAAAAAAAAATCCATCCAAGTTAAGTCAGGCACTCCGGACGGTTTCTTTTATTTATTTATTTTTAAGATTACGTTTTTCATCAAAATGACTTCATCAGTCCAAGGTCCACAAGCAGCACACTCCCATAGTGGACCAACCAGTTTTCTGGTGATAAGATGGTTTCTGGAGTCCTCCCTTTCCCCCGTCGACTCCTCTGAGGCAACCATGGCCAAAGTGGTTCCAAAAAAATCAAAGTCCATGCTCAATAATCCAGATAAAAATTATAAACTCTCATATCTATATGAGAGTTGTTCTGGGACAGAGGTAATCCCTTTTAGTGTTGATCCCACTCAGGTTAGCCATTAACTCACCAGTTCAATCAGAATTAAGCTCTGTTTCGCATCTAAAACAGGTAAGACAGTAGTTGTTCATAACTTTTGCACATGACCCCATGTCAAACTGTCAAATATGTTGCTTTAAAACTCCACTTCACTCCAGACCAGCTGCTTTTAAAACTCGGTGAAGTGTAATTACCTCCACATGCAGAAACAGATCCAAACATTTCTAAATATAACTCAGATCAAACGGCACAAGAACAGCAGCCTGATGTGTTTCAAGACTAAAACTACCATTGGAAAACAAACAAACCTACATATGCACAGAAAATAGTTCATTAAAAATGTAATTTATATACACATTCATGCTTGTACACACGTGAAGACGAAAAGACTGCAGTAATAACAAAATCAACGTATTTTTTACTAAATACATAAACAGTAAAAGAAAGACATTTTTGTTTTCTTATGTGACAAATGCATCCGTTCAAGCTGTTTTGTATTTGGAATAATTCTCATCTACCACCATATACATTTGTGACCAAATACCTATAATATTGACTGTTACAGCCATTTTTGTGTAGGCTGGTTATGATTTGTTATGACCGCCATCTTGAACTGGAAATAGTCCAGAAGTCAATCGGTTCTAGATGTGCATCCAATGATTATTTCCTGAAGGTTCTAGCAGAATAAGTGCAATGGTTCATGAGGTATTTTGCTAACAAAAAAGCAGTTGACAAAATAATTAATAGCTACATTTTAAACAAAAATCATACATAGTTTGTTAGCACTCAGACTATATTTTGAGAATCAGTCTCAGCTACTACCACACTAAATTTTAGATCAATATCTTTAAAGTTGACTGAGTTAAAGCCATTTATTTATTTCAAAAATTCAGTTGGCTGTAGCAGCCATTTTGAATTAGGTTGACTCCTAAATTTAATCGACTGTAGATTTAAATCTAGTGATTACTTTCTGCAAGTTTAATTAAAATATGCTCAGTGGTTCAAGAAATATTTAGCTAACAGACACACAGAAAGAGAGAGAGAGAGAGACTTGTCATTACCGTTCACCTTCAATGGTGGGCAATAAAAAAAATGTAATATTTTGCAAACATAAAAGGTTTTAAGTAAAAATGTCTCATAGTGTGGTGGTGATCAAATAATGCTTTATAAGATGCTAAAATAAATGCTGCTTATAGGCATGTGCAGAGAAGAATCGATGCAATGTATTCATTTTAGTCCCTCCTAACACAAACTAAATATTGTCATACTTTCAGATGTTTTTGTGCCACAAGTTGTTGGTGAAAATGACTCATTTTAATATGAAATTATACTGAAACCTCATATTGAGTGTTGTTCCAGATCAACATGTCAGCCTCGTGAACTCTCCACCAATCAGAGGACCAAGCTGCACATCTGGCCCAAGAAAGAAACTCAAGTCCTGGTTCAGTGATCACTTCATGACCCACCTCATACATCAACTCATCTCCTTGAATCTTTGACGGCTGTAACCTTAACGTTTTCATGGGGATGCAAATGAAACCCATGTAGGGAAACAAACAGACCCAGTGCTGGGATTGATGACTCCAAATCACGTGCGCGCTTGTACAGAGATGTATTTCTGCTCTGAGTCATCAATCAAGCAGTGATTAAGTCATACTCTTAAGTAAGAGGCTGCAGACATGTCTGTCAAACAGGCCTTCAGTTTCTGTCACAGCTCTGTGGATGACCGAGGTGTGTGACAACACACACACACACACACACACATTAGTGATTACTCATTCAGGCCATCTCCATGAGGGGTTCCGTGCCAACAAAGCGAGTAACACACACACACACGCGCGCGCGCGCACACGCAGAGAGAGAAACAGGAGTGTGACCACCCTGTTAAACAGCAGCAGGCGGCACGGTGCTGTCCATGGTGCTGAAAGAGGCTGTGAGGCGTGTGTGTGTGTGTGTGTGTGTGTGTGTGTCTGTCTGTGTGTGTGTGGGGGGGGGGGGGGGTCCATGGAACTACATCATTCTAGCATTCACAGCGACGTGCGCTCAGAGTCATGACACATCTTCCTCACTCATTGATGCTGCTGCTGCTGATGATGATGATGCAGCAGCCTCCGTGTCTCCACTAAACGATTCACTGAAGCTTGAAATCAGTTTTACACACAAAAAAAAAAAAATCCACGTTAGGACACACGCATGCCCCTAGTGTGTGCCCCCCCCCCCCCCTCACACACACACAGAGACCACAGTCATCCTCATGCCTCCCGGCGCATGCATGTGCGCGCTGCAACAATCTGCAGCGTTGCTCACCTTTCATCCAGTCCAGCACCTGCTTCGGTGTCCACTTACTGATCGGCTCCATGACCAGGGCCATGGTGGTGGTCTCTTCCAGAGGTGGACACGCTGATGGACGCGGGCGTCACGGTAAAGAATAATGAGAATAAATTTAATAAAAATAAATAAATAAAATAAAAATAAAACCTAAGACCCGTCAGTCACATCTGGGACGAGACAGATGTGGATCTGAGGGGGACAGAGACGATCCTCGGCTTCATTCTCTCCATCAAATCAGTCAGAGTGCGGCCGCCCGCAGGAAACGGTGAGCAGGGGGATGCGGTGGTGCAATCCACGCGCGCGCGCACACACACGCGCTCTCTCTCTCCCTCTCCCTCTCCCCCTCTCTCTCTCTCTCTCGCTCACACACACACGCGCGCGCACACACACACTGTTTGCTCTTGTGTTCCCGCCAGCAGCTCGTGCACTGTGAGCTTCTGTGGAGTTGGAGCGAACCCCCCCACCCCACCCCCTTCCTCTCTGCCCCTAAACCCTCCACCCGCCTCGCTGCAGCATCACGAGGGGGGTAACTGCTCATAACACAGACCAGGGAATGGTGCAACGCAAATCATCCAGGGAGGATCTCTCTCTGACCGGACCCCCCACCCCCACCACACACACACACACACACACACACACACACACACACACACACACAC